TCTGTCTGTCTGTCTGTCTGTCTGTCTGGTACATAGTGTGCGTCCACACCTGTGGCTGGGACTGCTGCCCTTAATCAGACCTAATGAAGAACATTGATTCATCTCCATTTGATTCACACTTTTAGACGGGAACACACGCGCACATACGCAAACACGCGCATGACACCCCACCACTAGTTGAGAGACCAACACTTTGACTTCTTCTAAGGAAGAAATTCTGTTCTTGTCTAATGCTGCTGTAGTGTTATTAGCTCTGCATATAATATTCTACTTAACCACATGTGGAGAAGTTTTAAAGAGGGATAAAGTGATGTTAGGGAACTGAAGAAGTGGAGTCGGAGAATGGGAGGGGGAGAGAGCGCGTTAGCCGGAGAGCTGCGTCAAAGTGAGGGATCTGGAGATTGTTAGTGATAGGGGGAAGCCGTGCACGTTTTTCCTCAGAAGCCCAAGCAGGGCAGGCATCCCAAGATTCCCTGCATCCTGGTCCCAGCTCTGGGGTGGAGGAAGCTGTTTACTCTTTCTATCTCTCACTGCTGACGTCGGCGCACCGAACAATGTCATCCAATTTCCTGTTTTTCACTTTAGTGGAAAGCCACTCTCCCAGTGTGCATGGTGTAGTGTGTGTGTGTGTGTGTGTGTGTGTGTGAGAGTGAGTGTGTGTGAGTGTGTGTCTATGATTGTGAGACAGAAAAGCTGGTGGGCTGGAGGAGAGGAGGAGGAGGAGGAGGAGGAGGAGGAGATCTATAGGGCCGGATACACTGGGAGCAGGATACAGGGTCAGAGGCAACTCCGCTATATAAATACATTAGGTGTATTGAATGAGAGTAGAAGGAGACTGCGGACTGTCCTGAGTGCTGCTGGAGATGACTGTGGACACCAGGCAGCTCCGATGTGGTTAGCTCGGTCTGAACAAGGTGTGATTTCACATGACTTAAGATTGTTTTGAATCTGTCAGCCTGGAAACTGTCACTTCACGGCGAGAGATTGATTTTATTAAACATTGCTCGATTACCAACCGGGTAAAGCAGGCGAGCAGGTCCCGAGGGCTCCCAGAGGTTCACTGCGGGCCAGTCGGTCTGTTGCGATCAGACGTAGGGATTTATTTATGTATTGTATACACTGGATTGGTCTCAACACAGGTACTGATCATGTTAAGCAAATCAGGTGTTGGCTATGATATTAATAATCCACATTAAGTCCTCTATCACCTACATGTGTTTAGTCACTGACTCAGTGTTCAGTGCCGCAGCATCCCTGGCGTCCCTTACTTAAAACTGGTTCCAATACGTTTCTCACAGATTGACATACATGTTTAAAATTTGGGAGAAAGAGAGCCCTGGTACTCTGGCTCCGTTCGATAAGCGGCCTCAAAGGATGGGTTCGGATTTTTTCAGGTCTCACTTTTGTATGTATTTATGGACATGTGAGTGTTGCTTTAAGACAGACAGTCGTTATCTCAGTTAGAATCTACTTGATTGGTCTCAATTATTCTGGTTCACGGTTATTTTTCTTCAGTCAAATGAGCATATCCACTCAGTTGGAAGTTCATTTGGTACAGTTTGGTAAAACAGTGTGAAACTCTTTCAGAGAGGTGTTGATTCAACTTTCATGTCATTCTGGAGGCTGCAGTTTGCGGTGCTGTTGAATGGTATTGCATTATATGGACAGGTGCTTCTATTATTTACTCTGCCCTCTTGACATAAATGGGTTAGGCATACATCTCTGTGTATGATGCAACATAATTTAACAGCGCCGCAAACTAAATTACCATCGAGTTGAATCAACATCTCTCTAAAATGGGTCCCTTTACAACCAGAACACAAGCCATCATCAAGGTAGGATTTATTGTAGGACTGTGGGTGTCCTTAATAAAACTGGCAACCGAGTTGATGTACACATTGCACAGGGAGTGAGAAAACAGGGAGGTCTGTGACATTACTGATTATTGATATTGGTTTATCACCCAGCTCCACTAGAAAACTATGAGGAACACAATTCACTGCATTCAGCTCAGACCTCTATTGAAAAGTGTTTGCACTGAGCACAAGTGCATCTGCACTATGCCCTGCCGCTCAACAAACTTGTCGTCTGATTAACAAGTGGCCCTGTGCACAGAGAGAGAGAGAGAGAGAGAGAGAGAGATCCCAGTGTGACTGGTACAACACAGCAGCATAGAGCAAGAGGGCGGGATGAGGATTACGTAGGCATACACACCATGTCCATACTGCCCGCCTGCCTGGCCTACATGCTCACTCACTTCCCCTGCTTTGTTTGCCTCTGGTTGAGTGCCAGCATGATGTTTGCGGGATGCAAATGCTTGGCTGAGTGATTCATTGCAGTGTGTGCATGTGTGTACTGTACAAGAGGAGTACGTTGCCCCGAAGAGGCTGGCAGGCTAGTTCAGCTCTGCGTGTGTGTGTGTGTGTGTGTGTGTGTGTGTGTGTGTGTGTGTGTGTGTGTGTGTGTGGCAGGCTGGCTGTTGCACAACCTCAGCTGCAGTTGCATTGCTTCTGTCAGTGTCAGTTAGAGAGGGAAGTGTCCGTGGATGGAGACAGAGCGCTGTGTGCTGCTCGCGCTAGGCCTCAGCTAGCTGCAGGCTCTGTGGCCAAACTCCATACGTCAAGACCCTGACCTCAGCTAGTTCACCGACACACAGCATCACAGTGGAAACCTGATTTTTTTTTTTTTATTTTATATATGTGGGGTATATTTTTGTGCAGCCACCATCTGTGACATTCACCCAGCAGTAGCCTATAGAAGAGAGTTTTGTTTCACCTCCACAGGAAAATGAATGGGTGGTTTGAATCCCTAATCAGAATTCATAAATCTGAGGCCTGAGCTGGTTTTTCTGGCACACGTGGTCAGAGTCACTGAAATCAAATCTGACAACAGAAAAACTAGGTTGTTTAGTCAAACCCTCTTGGGCGAGCATTAGTTTGTGGCATTTCCATATGTAAGCCTCTATTATATAGCCACACACACACACACACACACACACACACACACACACACACACACACACGCGCTAACACATGCTTACTGTCTCCCCAGTGCACATGAGCCTATCATGCGACCAAGTCCTCGTGTCTGTGACAGATCAGATGATCACAGAGCATCAGCTTGTAGCCATCCTGATGCCATACTCCTTGTTTGCGGACAACTACAACAAACGGCCTAGTGTCATGATGACGTCAATTTGGCTACAACCGAGGGCTAATCAGCTTTTTTTCCCCCTTTGTTGTTTCATGGGGCTTTCAAAAGGCTTACAATTTAGCAAGAAGTGATTTACTGCTGCACAGCACGCTCTAAAATTCCTCTCCGTATTCCTCCTCACATGTGTAGATTGTTTACGGAGAAGAGGAATTCTAGAGGGATGGCGGTCCGCAAGGGGCTTGGTTGCTATGGTTACTAACCCCTGAGCTGGGTTGCATTTAGCAGGAAGGAAGCTAAATTATTTGCAGACAGAAAAGAGTAAGCTCATGTAGGGAAAGTGTAATGAGTTGAAAACCTGTCTGTCTGTGAGGAATCTGTTGTTTTTTGTTTGTTTGTTTGTTTGTTTGTTTTCCCACAACTCTACTGTTCAGTTGAATTAGATATCCGACAATTCAATCACAAGTGTTTGGTTTTGCTGATTCAGTCAGTGGTGGAAGAGGTAGGCCTATGTAGATACTTTACTTAATTAAAAGTAGCAATACCATAATGTAGAAATACTCTGTTACAAATACAAGTCATGCATTTAAAATTTTACTTCAGTAAGTGCTCATGTAGAATGGCCTATTTCAGAATAATATATGTTAGTGCGGCAACTAACGATTATTTTCATTAACAATTAATCCACGGTTTATTTTCTCGATTAATCATTTTGTCTATGAAACATCAGAAATTTGCCAGAGCTGTCTTGATTTGTCCGTCCAACCGTCCAAAACCCAACAATATTAAGTTGTCAATCATGTATGAGAAAGAAAAGCTGATTTGATTTTTTTTAATGTCATTCAACTAATCAATTAATTGACTAATTGTTGCAGTTTTAATGTATATTATATTATTGGATTGTAATTACAGGATGCAATAATTTGTACATCACTTCAATGTTGTAGCCTGTAAAGGTACTTTATATATGTCTGGGTAGTTTTTAAGTTTCTCTAGGTATCAATAATGTGTTATCATAACCTATAACAATACATCATCATATATTTGGTTGGTTACAGTTTGTATTATTAATCCAAATTGGTAAAGTAACTGGTAACTAAAGTTATCAAATAACTGCAGTTGAGTGAAAAGTATGTTTGCCTCTGAATAGTAAAAGGACCTAGTACTGTAGTTTTACATATTTGTCTCTGTTGGACGAGACCCAACACCTTTAGTACATACTTAGCACTTTTATCAGCTTGATGACCTTCATTAATTTTATGAGAATAGTTATAAGCAACATTTTAAACTGTTGATGTGTTTCCGAAGCTACAGAGAGCGACACATTACTTCTTTTTGGAGTCTCAGAGACTCCAGCTGTTTTTTTTCTATACGTGCCATGTCTGTGATCTGGTATTGACGGTTCTTCTTACATTTCATTAACCCTCCTGAATCCCAAAGAGGTCTAATCAGATTTCTGTTCCGGTTTCTCCCTAAGAGCTCTCTCTGGGGTCTGACTGATCCTACACATAAGTGGCATCACTGTACGATGACATACTGTACAGAGACTCAACGAATTGAACATGAATAACCCAAAGTAATCATGAGAGATATATCCTTATTTGGTGATAAAACTGTTTTCTGGTCATTCTGTGCCAGTTGACCACTTCAGTACCTTTCTTCATGCTGAGTAGAGAAGGGGGAAAAAACTTGATTATTATTGTTACTATTGCACACGTAGCAGTGATACAATGAAGAAGTAATGTCAGTGAAACAAAGGGGTTAAAATACAAATATGAAACAAGTGAGAAAATATGTTTATGAAATGTTTTTTTCTAATCCTTGTATTCTTCTTGTTATCTTTCAGACCACATTAACAGAGGTGCAATTTGGACCAATGAAGTTATTTAAAGACCCACTTCAGGTATCGTAAAACAATGCCAAACATCTGAATGATTGATGCTTATGTGCTCGAATGCATTAAGACTTTCCACGGAACAACAGAAGTGCTCCAGTCAAATGTTTATGTACATATCATTTAGGGGCTTTTAGCTGAGCCCTGGAGCTAAACTTGGTGTGACTGTCAATATTTGGTAGCATTTTTCTAGGATTAGTATTTCAAAACGTCACCTTCCTTTTGTTTGCAGTCAGAACTAATCTTGAATTTCTCAAAGATACCACACCTCGCCAAGAGATTAAAGAAAAAAAAAGAAAAAAAAGTCCCCATGCAAACATTCAAAAAAAAAAAAAAAAAAAAGGAGGAAAAAAAAAACTGTTAATGGGCGTATTGTGTGAGATGCAGCCTTGGGTTGTCAAGGCAACAAGGCCAAACATTTATGACAGAGAACATACCATAATGAACAATGCACGTTATGGAAGAACTGCACAGACGATCCATGGACCAGTTTCGTCACAGCAAACAGGACATTCTCTGACGTTCAATGGTTCATTTTACAGTTTGGTACTGTGCTTGGTCTTGTGGCGCGCATTGCTGCTGTTGGAGTCTTTGGCTTTTTAGGAATTTAATGAAGTATTTTGAGTATGTGCAACATTTGATTTCACCTTGGTTTCAAGGGGTCATATATTATATCTAACTGAACACTTTGGGTCTTGAACTGTTGGTCAGACGGACGAGTCACCTTCAGCTCTAAGAAACTCAGACTGTCATTTTTTGATGATTGTTACTTGCAACCCTGGTGCACATAGCTCCTTCAAGTAAAATACAAAGTTTCATTAAAGTCAAAGTTACAAACAATAATGATGGAAAAGTCAGTGGAATTCAAAGAAAAGCAATGCATTAGACGTCCTGTAATTTAATGCCATGTATAAGTGTAGAGACTCGGCTTTATTGTCTGATGCACTCCAGTGTGACCACAGTAGGAAAACGAGGTAGAGAGATATCCCCTTCCTGTTTTTGTCACTCACAGCTGATCCTGTCATGCCCTCCTCCTCCCTACTCCTCCTCTTTTCTCGTGGCTCACAGGATCTGGCCTGGCCTTCTCTGTTTTCAACAATGATGTTTTCTAGACAGAGCAATCACACCCTGCCAAAATGCTCACTACCCCCTTCAAACTATTTTTTTTTTTTTTTTCCATCTTGTAGTCTTTGTATCTCTGCTACTTTCTCTGCCTTTTCCATCTGTTTGTTTGGAGCTTTAACATGGCATCTGCCCTTACAAAACATTGTTGCTTGAATATACTTTGAGATTATTTTTTTTGTGCATTGCAGCTGGGTGTGTTATTACTGAGTGAGGGGGTATCTGTCCTAGCCTGAGCAGAGGCATCTGAAAACCCCTTATCTCAGCCCATATTACCCCCGTTCCTCCACCTCTGCAGGAATGTTGACTTTTCTACCAACATCCCAATGGGGAATTCTGATCTAATTCCCTGTGCGTACCGAATATAGCTGCAGAACTCAGCGGTGATGTATTTATGACCCGGACACTTATTGCCACTTGTAGGGAAAATGTTCATATGTGGATATGTTTTGCATTAGCAACACCCCTCTCAGGCGTGCAGGCTCTCTGCCTCGGGCCTGAAGCTGCATTTGGGTACTTAAATAAAGCCCCACCAATCATCAGAATGAATCAAAAAGGACAACTGTCAAAACAGCCAGTCCTCTATTCCTACATTGTGTGGAGGACAGTGGCTCTAGTTTTCTCAAAAAAACTCATGTCTTTGTGCCCTAACTCAACTTTACAGGTGTGATGCAAACTTAAAACTGCAGAACAAACTTTCTCTTCTTTACGTTCATTCTGCTTCCTGCCAACATTTGGAGATGACGTCTGTTTGAGAGAGTGACTCATGAATCTACTCTTAGTGCAGCACTGCTCTTGGAGGTGGGCCTAAATCTCTGGTCCAGTATTTACGCAAATAAGGGGTTATATGAAAGTATGCTGGCAGAGGGAGAGCATGCTCTCAATGGCTGGTTTGACGGTAGCAGCAGCACTTTCTACCACAGCCTTGGCAGACCGGTGGGAGGGGCCGCAGCCAGTCAAGGCCACCTCGACTAATTGTGTCATAGATCACGGCAGCGGACAATAAAATCTCTGACGCACCCGAGTACGAGCTGAGCTTGATCAATCAGGGCCTTTCCACTGGAGACCTGAGGTCACAGTCAAGCCCACGCTGCAGGTTGATGAGGACGACGGGCACAAATGAGCACGAATGCACCGCTGATGACTTGATAACTCAGAGCTGTTGATACACCGATGCATTGAAATCATGTTTTACTGTAGCGCTCTTTTGTCTTTTACTGCACTTTTTCTACAGCACAGGGTGATGTACAGAAAAAAATATTTCCAGCAAATCAAGCAATGAGTTCCTGTTTAAATAAATTCATCATTTCTGTCAGGTAGAAGTCAGATGTACACTAGATTTTTACAATACAACTGTACAACCAGTGAAGGACGGCACAAGTGGCTTTGGTGGTTTTGCCCATGTAGGACAAATTATATACACTTGTGTCCCACCAATCATGTAATTAGTGCTCAAACCATTTGATCCTGTGTATATCTCGTAGTAAATTGGACGTCACTTTGGGTTCTGGGAAATGATGGGTGATGGGGATTTTTTTCACATTTGATCAATTGATGAATTGTAAAAATAAACAACACAAGAAATAACAATAACAATTAACATTAGCTGCAGCTGTGTATATCAGGTTTTTGGCGGTTAGACCCTCAGACTCACAAATACCTGCGATGCCACTAAGACATTTCGTCTGTGGACCATTTGGTCTAAAAAGCACGTCTTAATACCTGCTTGTAAACACCTGTTCACATGTAAGATTTTTCTGATGTTCGTTTTTAATCCAGTCTTTTTTTAGACATGACTTGTTTTAATTTTTTACTCTCCCCATGTTTCGTGGCTCTTTGTAAAGACCATATTAACAAAAATTTTAGATGAGTAATATATTTTGGGTAGAAGTAATAGTAGTATGACATTGCAAGAGGTCAGTTAAAAAAGGCAGTTGCATAAATATGCTTAGTCATCTCTCTTTTTGCAGGTACTTTTAGTTTTTGCCAAAGAGGACAGTCAGAGTAATGGCTTCTGCTGGGCATGTGAGAAGGCTAACTTCAGGTGCAGCATGGCGCGGACACCGGAGTCGGCTCTTGAATGCTTCTTGGAGAAGCATCACGACCTCGTCATCATTGACCACAGACATTCCAGACACTTTGACGCTGAAGCACTATGCCGGTAAGCGACTTCTGTCATCATCAGTGTCCTTCTACTTCAAGTTGTACCTCTGGAGTGATGAAGAATAGTGGTTCACAGCGTCTTGTGTCTGCTGTATCCACACAGTCCTGTAAACTCAAGTACCCATCCACATGTGTATATGAACCCATTTTAAGATGATTGTCATCTAAGACTATTAATGACATAGAATTTGATATTGTTAAAATATTTCTTTCATACAGTTGAACTGTCAGTGTTTAGCTGGTACGTCAGTATGGCCAAGTTTGCATTTCTGTTAAAAATCACCTGCAGTAGCCAAAGCTGAATTTTGCACCCATTTATTCATTACTTGTTGCTAATGACCTCACCATTAATCAATTACTTTTAACTGTTTTATCTGTTGATCCATCATGTTAAGCTACTTCAACTCACGCTGTACATTCATTACTTTTAGCTAACCAACCACCGTTTTAACCATGGAACTATAGAATTACTTTTTTACCATTTATCTTCTATTTTTAGTTTTTTACCATGTGTCCATGACTTTTAGCTATCAACTATTGATCCACAAATAATTTGAGCTAATTATTTGAATTATTTATCCATTGAGGTTACTTTTAACCGACTAGTTTATCATTTTCCTTTTTGCAAACTTTTTGCTGTTTCAAGCATTTATTCACTACTTTGAGCTTTTTCACCATTTATACATTGATTATAGCTATTTCTTTGTATAACTGAGTCGAAATGTAGATATATTTATTTAATTAAATTGTAATTTAAATTTTTTCAAATTAGTCAAATCAGTCTTTTCACATACCTCGTGGCTGCTGCAACTACACGTGCCTCTGGTTAGGAATCACTGATGTAGTGGACACAGTTGAATTGAACTTGAATTCTGGTACTGACTGTTATTTAAGGCCAGTGACATAATCCAGACCAGATGATCATGATAGGACCAATTATAGCATACCCTTTCCATGTGTTACATTACATTGGCTAACACGTGTGATTACGACTCTCTGCGGGGGTAAATGGCCACCTCACTTTGGGCTCACTTGCTTCCATCGCATACTATCTAGTGGAGTCATGTCAGTGAGAAATGAGCGGTGCCTGCCCATACCACTCTATCTTTAGCCTCTGCCCAAACCAAAAACACATTTACAAACATTCATTTGCCCTGCCCAGCGTGTATGTTAACCCTATTCATTTTGGCCAATCCATATGTTCAGTGTACACGCACAAGCTCAGATGGGGAACTAAAGGGCCTTTATGACCACTGGCTGGGGAAAACCACAGGCGGATGAGTGGCCCTGTACACAGCATTCTTTCAGAGGTCTAGGCCTGCTCACAGAGCTCCACCACTGGGCTCTGCCTGCCTGGGAGAATCGGAGCGTGAAAAAATGAAAAATACATTGATTTGATGCCATGGGCTTTTCCACCGGCCTGCTCTCTGGCTAAAAGGCTCCCTCTGTTTACATTCAGGTCAATTAGAGCAGTCAACTCTTCAGAAAACACTGTGATAGTCGCCGTTGTGAAAAGGTATGTACAATTCGCTGAACCCGTCTCGCCGCCCCCCCCCAACTCTCTCTCCCTCTCTGCCCTTTCTTGTCATTTTCCTCACTGTATTTTTAATGTAGCAAATGTTTGGGTCCATATTGTCAGAATTAAAACGCATGACTCAGCGGAGGACTGTAGGCCTGCAGCCAGTCATATGGTGCAACCCTCTGATGTTCTCTGAACAAGCATTTGTCATGTCGATGTTTGGGTGCTAACATGTTTTCTGTTGTCAAGGCCAGACAGAGAGGAAGCCTCTGTGATGCCCCTGATCAATGCCGGCTTTAATAGGGTGAGCAACACTGTGTGTAAATATGTGTCTGGTGTGTGTGTGTTCCCCTGCTGTGTGTGTATTTGTATTATTCTTTTGATATGTTTTTTTCTTTTCTTTTTTTTTTATATCCCTACTGTCAACACTTAGGACACAAGATTGTAAATCCTTAGTGTGTGGTATTAGAAAAACTGCGACTTATCCTCACTAATTTGAAATTGGGATTTTAGTTGACTTTGACTGACCCGTGTTGCTCGGTGTTGCCCTCCTACCCTCAGAGATATGTGGAGAATGGCAATATGATGGCCTGCTACAATGAGCTGCTACAGTTGGAGCATGGAGAGGTGCGGGCGCAGTTCAAACTGAGGTGAGTCGTGCTGTATTGTTGTACAGTGTTGTCGACATCGGAAAGAATATCCACTTCTTACTTTTCTATAGCGGGTTTTGATACTTAACTCTTTCTTTAGAGAGTACAAATGTAGAATATATATGTGTGTGTGTATATAAACAGATGCTGGAGACTGTTTGTTGCATATTTTAACAATGGTTCTGGTTCTGTTGTTTCTCTTCCTGTACAAGGGCTGGAAATGCTATTTTCACAGCTATAGAACAAAGCCAAGAGGCCATAGAGATCACCTCTGAAGATCAAGTTATTCAAGTGAGTTTGATGCCTGTAGTTGCTTTATTGTGATGTACAGTTGATCTCTCTCTCTCTCTCTCTCTCTCTCTCTCTCTCTCTCTCTCTCCTTCTCTCCTGTTTTAGTGGCTGTTCATGTCTTGTGACCCCAGATCTCAGAAGTGATAGTTGCAGTCTTTGTCCCCCTCTGAATGGCTCGTTTTGTTAACATCAAAGCACTGTAGCCTGCGTTATCACGTTATGTTTTCACATAAAAAAAAAATATATATATATATATATATATGTATGTATTTTTTTGGAGCTTCCATGAAACGCGCGAAGAATGGGTGCACTTCTCTGAAGACGTGTTATTTTGGTTAGCAAGATTCATATGTTGCTGGAGGTCATCGTCTTATGACTGTGTCTGAACTCTCAGTGTTGCTTTTTATAAACAGCAGATCATCATTTCAGATCAAACCTGAAGACTCACTGTTACCTCTCCTTCACAGTACGTGAACCCTGCCTATGAGTCCATTATGGGCTACCAACAAGGCGAGCTAATAGGGAAGGAAATAATAGAAGTGCCTAAAAGTGAGAAGAATAAGCCTGATCTCCTTGAAACAATAAACTCCTGCATACGGAAAGGAAAGGTAATATGCATTCATTATACACTATACACTTCAGGCTAAACATACATTCAGGGAATTACATAATCAGGAATTTGTTGAATTGTTAATTCTCTTACACAGATAGTTTTGACATAGGAATAACATAGACTATTGCTTCACTATCAGATCACCCTCGTAAGCACCGTAGCACCTGCCTTTGTGTGTGTGCATGCATGCGTGCACGTGCATCCATGTGTGCTGTAAGTCCACCAGCCGTCCAGCAGCTCTGTTTCATGTGAATAAGAACAGCGGTTGGTGGCTGTGCTGTAATCTTACTACACAGAGAGCGAAGGTCAGTCCCAGACAGGCTAACAGCGGGAAGGTCCTTTTTAAGCTGCCACAGTAGTCTGTAGGAGGGGGGGCACATGAAACAAACGCACGGGACTCCAGGAGCGCTCCCCCTACCCATTAAAGCAACTCGCTGCTCTCTGAAATATTCTGACCCGCCACACCTTACCACCTAACCTGTACCACAAACGCTGCCATGCTACACCCAGTCCACATCCACTTTTAGAACATTTTCTAAATCTCATATTTGGTCAAATATGTTCCTGAGTCTGTGCATTATGTGTTTGTATGTTTCATTTCTTCTCTCTCAGTTTGGGCTTTTTGTGTTCCAGGAGTGGCAGGGGATTTATTATGCCAAAAAGAAGAATGGAGACAGCATTCAGCAAAATGTGAAGATCACACCTGTAATTGGACAGGGAGGGTGAGTGACGGTGTTGCTAAATGTAAATTATGTTTCCACTATCCGAATAGTTATATATGACTGAATAATGATTGTGTGATGATTGATTGATGAATGGTTGAATAATAAGCTTCTGTCGTCCACAGAAAAATCAGACACTATGTGTCTATCAACAGGCCTTTAAATGATAATAATAAGGTGAGACGTGTTTCAAGTTTTGCTGATTTAATAATGGATGAGAGGAGCCTGCATATATCAATTTGCCTTTCCCCTCTGTCCACGCAGAGTGATAAATCCAGTGAACGTGTGCAGGCAGAGTCTCAGACAGGTAAGATCCATCCTGAAGCTCTGTGCTGTAGGTGCCAGCCTTAACTCTACTCTGTAACTGAATAACATTACAGGTGATTTATTATGCTAAACCACTCAAACAACTGTGGAGTCTTGCAGGTTTCAGTACTTCAGGTTCTCTCTCTGCTGGGCAGTTATTAGCATTAGTGATGGAAGTTCCTTCCACAACTCTATCAGTTTTGATCTGCCGTAAGAGTCGAGGACCTGAGGGCCAGCGCTGTGTTTGTCATTAGGAAGCACAACATTGAGTTCCAGTGTTGCACAGACAATACACAGTGCTAATTTTAACTGATTGTTTGCAGACACCAAATATTTGTTGGACGTTAATAACAATAAATTGGAGATAGTCACATTTGGGAACCTGAGCTTTGTAAACTCAGAGACTTTGGAAATGTGTCAGCAAATGTATTGCACCATGCCAGAAAATCATTGTTTTCTTTAATCATGACCCAAATTTTAAACAGTAGACCAGCAGAGGGGCCAGTCCTGCTTTATCTAGCTGAGAAATATTTCCAAAGAAATGAATTCTGTCTTTTGTTGACCTTGAAAAAGTTATCCACGCTTTTATTTTCTGTGAAACTGGACAATTGTTCCTTGCTGTATTGTGGTATCAACCGTGAAGCCAATTCACAGCTGCAACTGATTTCAAAATGCAGCAGCTACGCTCCTGACAGGTGAACAAAACAGGGCTCATATCTCTCCTGTGTTGGCGTCCTTTCACCAGCCCACTGAAAAGAAGCGACTTTGAAATGTTGCTGTTTGTTTATGAAGCTTTGTATGGTCTTACAGCACAGTATATTTCACTGAAACTCTTATACAACACCCCTACATCCCCTAGGTCTTCTGATTATGGGCTCAAAAGGTTGATTATGCTTCTAGATTTAGAGTGTAACCCTACCAAATGCAGCTAGTCAGCAAATGTATTAAAAGCTTTCTTTTACTTCTCTCTGGCCTTTCAAAGTGACTGGTGTTTTTTATATTTGTTTTATTCCTTGATTTAAAATGTGCATATTTTTGTCGTGTTGTGAAGTGAAATATACAGCAGTGCTGTCTGCTTACATAGACAAAGACACAAAGAAAGTTTCCTGCCTACTTATGTAGCTTTCTATCACTTTATATTAATCCCTTATTACAGTAAAAAATACTAAATTAAAACAGAAACTTGAAACAAAGGTGCGAATTTATGGAGGACAAGTTGATTAAGTCAAGAAAATTACCTTTAAGTTGACTTTAAAGGCATATTTTATACATTTTTCATTTTTCTTATATTGTCTAGAAATTCCATGAAAAACTTAATGGTCTTCATATTCAAGTAATGGTCTTGAGGCTGAGCACTTTCTGTGGGATTTGTTGAAATAAGACAGATATAGAATAACACCAGCCTTATCCTTTAAATGTCTAGGACAGATCTGATAATAGAAATGAAATAGATTCTAATATCTAGTATTTTCCATCTATGGGTTTGACTTGTGAGGTTGACTTACCGATCTCAATTTTCCTCCAAGTACTGGAGCACTTCCACTTGCTTATTGGGTGTGGAGGATGTTTAATATCACATGAAATTATTATATTTCACTTTGTTGGGTAAGGCACTTAGAGTATTCTCTTGCACAAAAGGTGCACTTTTCTTCTCAACTTTGACCAATTATTACAATTAATTACAGGATTACAATCCTCCCGCTTGGGATATTGAGGCTGGAGCCAAAGTCGGCCTTGTCACTAAACTTGAACTGTGTTTGTGCGTGTGTGTTAATGTAAGGTGTTTTCTTCTCCCCAGACATCCAATCCAGTAAGCACAAAGACCGGAGGAAAGGCTCTCTGGATGTCAGATCCACAACTTCTCGGGGGAGCGATGGTGAGAGTGAAGGGAGATAGATGATGGAAAATCTGAGCGTTTTTCTTGTCAGCTTATGAAACCATCCCAGTTGTCTGTTTGCATTAAGTGTTGATTGGACACACGCACACAAACAAACTCATTAGAAAGTGGTTTGGAAAACTGCAGCGTAATTTGTTGTTGAATCTGCGCCTTTCGAACTGTGGGTGAATCAAAGTTCAAGCCGATAAAATGACAATGTCTTGTTTCCAGGGAGCTCACAGCGAAGGCACTCCTCAATGGCCCGCATCCACTCCATGACTATAGAAGCTCCTATCACCAAGGTGGGTTCATCTCCTTCCCCATCATCCCTCCATCATATGATTAGCACTCTGTACGGATGTTCTGTATCTCATGACTGAACTCTTGGGTTGTAAAACTGCCACAACTGCCATGAGCTCTTCTTGTACAGCTACTAGCTACTGAGTCTGAGGCCACGCATACCATGTCAAGAGGAGATAGGCTGATAAAATGGCACATTTCATGCACAAGACAGGCAAGCATGTTGGACCAGGATGACCTGCTGTTTCAGTGGTTTATGTAGTCGGCAGCGTGGATGGTTGGAAACAGAGAAAGTCCCCAGGGATGGGTCATATGACACACTGCAGTTCCTCTGCTGTATCATTTGACTGTGTAGTCAGTCCCTGTAGGCGTCATCCTCTCCAGAATAAAGCACTGATAGAACTGCTGGTACTGTTTGTGCTTATGTGGAAGTGAGTTAGCTAGAACTTGTGCTCTTGCACATGCTTGCTGACCTCGCCATAGGTGTCCATTGTTGGAACTTCCAGAACCTCCAGGTTCACATGCTGGAGCAAAAATGTAAATCTTTCTTAATGTTTTCTGAGCATCGTCCTGCTGGACTTACCCGGTCATGTTTTAACACTTTTATTCATTTTAGAGTCAAAGAGTCCATTTTACATCTAATGCCTCATTCATTTAAATAAATTGTTATGATATGAGTGGTATTGATCTTCGAATCTAACCCTTGAAAAGAAAGTGAATTAGCAAAATGAAGAAGTGTGACCACATTGCAAATGTTTTAGCCTTTTTGCACAGTCAGTAAACACAGTGGAGCTGAATCAGTATTTGAAACACACTTTTATTGTAGAACACATTCAGATTTTAGCTGATTTTACCTTTTATTTCTTCTGTTATGTGATTAAAACTCACTTTACCCACTTTATCATGGTCCACTAAAAGCCTTACCTTCAGTATATGTGTCCAGTTTGCTTTTATTATTGTTGGTTTTGCAAAAATGCAAATTAATATTATAATTATTATTATAATAATTATTATTATTATTATTATTATTATTATTATTACCTTTATTATTTCATCATCCAGGTAATCAACATCATCAATGCAGCACAGGAAAGCAGCCCCATGCCCGTAGCAGAAGCCTTGGATCGCGTACTGGAGATCCTGAGGACCACTGAGCTCTACTCCCCGCAATTGGGAACCAAGGATGAAGACCCCCACACAAATGACCTCGTGGGGGGGCTGATGACGGTAAGCAGCAGGTCCTTTAGAGCGCAGGGGTCCTTCGATAAGTCTGAAACACCCAAACAGCTACAAATGAATCAACTCCCATATGATTAAATGCACACTGTAGTGTTCCACTGTGATAACGTCCGCATGAATATCCATTCACTATGAAAGCTCATGACACTGTGTTGAATGAAAGAAACAGAGATGCAGTAGTGTCCGTGTGTGAGACAGAGAGAGAGATTAGCAGACAGCAATGGTGAAGTACAGAAGTAGAAAGAGTGCCAAGTTGGCAGTCTTGGCAACAACCCCAAAGGAAGTGTTAGATTGTCCTTTGTGCTCCTGTAGGCTGGAGAGGAAAGCCCACCCCACCCTCTCTTTCTCCCCCCTCTCCCTCTCTCTCTCTCCCTCTCTCTCTCTCTCTCTCTCTGCACACACTCTGCACACATGCACACAGTCACACTCACATGAACCTCTTCCTCTCGACTCCGCAGGCCTGGAAACATCCTGTTCTTTGGATCAGATGAATAAGCATGGCTTTACTTATACATGTACACTCTGCACACACAGCAGAGAGGTGTCACACATATTTCTTCCCCAGAAAGATTTGTTGTGCGCAAGTGTTAACAGCTGATGAAACCAGAAAACCATGAGGTGTTTATTCGGGTTTAAATGATTATATATGTACAATCATATTGGTTCACGAGGTGCCCGGTTGCATTTGTGTTTTCTTAGCCTTGCAATTCCTGTTTGTTATGGTGAGGTGTGCCGGGCCTGAACTCAGAAGACCCAGTTAACGTTAAGAGATGAACTGTCATCTTTCTGGGGAGAAAGTCTTAAAATAGCCAGTGTGTACAGAGGCAGCGCCACCATGAGACAATGCTCGGGTCAAAGATGAGCCAGTCTCTCCTCTTCCTTTTTCACTTGTGAAGTAAACATTTCACTCTGCGACACACACCCATGCATTCACAAATGCCCAAAATATATATGACTGGGTGATATAGGCCTGTGATTTGCTTAGCTGACAAGTGGCAAAAATGGAGAAAAAAAGTGGAGGCCTTAGTGCTTACAATGTTTTATTTCCATGTTTTTTTACTCTTTTAACATTTTCATAACATACAGTGGCCTGAGGACACAGTTTTATAGCACATAACAACACATTTTTTAGGTCAGGATGGTTTTATTGTAGCTTCTTGTCACAGTTGGTCTCTGAGAGACACATATAAACAAGATTTCTGTTTCTGATAAACTGTAATGAATACAGAACTGCTGCAATCTTCATTGCTAATATAAAACATGAATATGGCACCATCTCTCTGAGGCTGTGCTTTTTGCTCACAATGACAAATGCTAACATGCTGATGGTTAGCAGGTACATAGTTTAACATGTTCACCGGGGTAGTTTAGCACGCTAACATTCGCTAATTAGCATTAAAACACACAGTACAGCTGAGGCTGATGGGGAATGACATTAGTTTCGCATGTATTTAGACAAATTGAATTTTTGACCTGATGATAATAATAGAAGAAATGTTAAGGTCAGCAAGGTTATTACAGTTCATCCTGTGAGGAACATGGATGTCTGTGCATGATTTAATGGTATGTTAAGACATTTCACTCAAAACTACAAATGTCAGCCTCAGAAAAATCATTAAGATTCATCCTCTGGGGACCATGAATGTCTATTAAAAAATAATTCATGGCAATCCGTCCGATAGGTGTTGAAATATAAGTCTGGAAAGCCGATTGATCAACCTACTGGCATTGTCAGCCACAGTGCCAGTGTGGCTGAAAACAATTAGCTCCATCTTTACTTTCCCAGTTCTTAATGTGCAGTCTGTCATACACAGCTGATACAGTTCACAGTCCCAGAAGAGCTGGATCTTTATTTGAACCAATGAAAAGCTGTTTTTGGTAATTAAGGTGATGAAGTGTTACCCTATTCATAAGCCCCATTTGCTTTCCCAGCATGCAACAATGCCCAGAGGAAGACAAATGTCATAATAGATTATCTTACATATGTACATAAATTATGCCAGTGTCATTTCTGACACAGCGATTATAGTTCATAAATATGGTAATCATTTTTAAACTGTATATTGGTTTCATTAATAAGCTCAGTTTGGCTGCATCCCCCGTCTACTCCCTCTGTTTGCGAAACGAGGTGTCAACACGACAAAGCCTCCAGAATATTGTGTCATAGCACAGAAGAAAAAAACACTCATAAAAGTGTTAATATGGAAAATCTGTAAAATCCATGTCTTTGTTTCTTGTTATTTATTCTGTTGTCATTTGTTACAATCTCTCGTCTGTCAAATTGCATTTCCTTCTGCAATTTTGTCAAAATGCACTGAGGCATTTAGACCCTTCCAAAATCCAACTCTTCTTACTTTTTTTCTTCACTGACGTATGATAAACAATAATATGTCATATTCATTTATAATAATTTTAGGCACCAGAAATGTTTAAATCAAACTAAAGTGACGGGGTGTTCAAAAAGTGATGATGCTCTCTTATTTACTTTTCTGATGGAAATCTGAGTTTGTTGGTAGATTTAAGGGCCTTAAAGTTTTCTTTTTGACTGAAGTGATTCTGGTGCTCCTAACACTGAGCTCAACTCCTTAATTGGCTGTTCAAAAAGAATGAATCATGAAGTGATGAACTGCATTGTAACTTGCTGCCTCAGTCTCTGATTCTCTCTTTCTTTTCTTCATGTTCACAGGATGGTTTACGCAGATTGTCAGGAAATGAATACATATTTTCCACAAAACGTAAGTTTACAATGAAGCACAGGAAGATATGAGGTGCTATGCTATGTTTTACAGTTATGTTTATTCTTACTACTAAAATCATTGTTTTTACTTCTTGTAGTTCATCCATAGGTTGTGAACAACAGTTTTCTCACCTCTCCCTCTTTATCTGAATGCCTCCTCTCTTGTCTCCTCCTTTGCTCACAGAGCCCCACCACATCCCCAGTCACCTGACAACTCCTCTGTCGTTAAACGACATCCCCCCTCGTATCGCCCAAACCATGGAGAATGAGAACTCTTGGGACTTTGACATCTTCAACTTGGAAGCTGCAACCATAAAACGGTGAGGCAACAACACGGTTAAGGGTTACCAGAGGGACTGTGTCTAATTTTTTTTTTGTGTGGAAGCAGAGCTTGGTATGAGCGTTTATGCTGAATCCTCCCGCAGGCCTTTGACCTACTTGGGCCTGAAGATCTTCTCCCGCTTTGGGGTCTGCGAGTTCCTAAACTGCCCTGAGGCAACTTTGCGCTCCTGGCTACAAGTGATTGAAGCTAACTACCACTCCAGTAACTCCTACCACAACTCCAGTCATGCAGCTGATGTCCTGCACGCAACAGCATATTTTCTCTGCAAGGAGAGGGTCAAGGTAAACTAACAATAGTTAATAATGAAGCATGCTGTTTTAAAAATGGATGGCAAACTTGCTTAGGCATAACATACCTTAGACTAAAGGGTGTGGTTTGTTGGACAGAAATTTAATTGGCAATTGATTTTTCTTTTTTTTTTTTTTTTCTTTTTTTTTTCAAACAAAAAATGGCAAACATTTACTGAGTCCAGATTTTGAAATATGGGCCACACCATTTACTGCCTGTCACCTTGGGTTTCTGGCCATTTTTCATTTATTGTTGCCGCATTATTAGCTTCTATCAGATTGGCTTTTCACTTTTCTGTTATGTGTGTATACATAATGAAATACAGTGGGGTTCAAAGAGACCACTTTCAAGTTCAAGGGAATGGGACTTTTGAAGCCCATCGCATATGAATAAAGTGGCAGTGGATGCTCAGTTTTTACAGTGTGATCTGTGTGCTACCTATCCCACTGATTCTTTGTGATTTTTCTCTGTTTTGGTCCATATCCTGAACAAATTCTCTCTCCTTTACAAGCCTTTTTGTTTTATCCTTGCATAGAGTTTGGAAGTCACTTGCTCCACAGAGCACTGTTTTCAAATGTAATGTGAAAGTACATTAGTAGATATGAAAGTCTCCTTAAAGTCAACATATTGACTGACTTAAAGCATTAGCATGTTTTAGCTGTGACCATCCTTTTATTTTGAAATGTTCACCACTGCTTTGGTTGCGGGGCCCAAACACCTACAGTATCTAGAAGTTGGGAATTTCTACTATTAAGCACGGCTCTCTGATCAGTCTTGACTGTCGGCTGTCTCGTCTGAGCCTCCATTATCCATGAGAGTCGTGGTTTTGCCCAAGTGTGTCAGTGGCTCAGCAACTGGTTGAGGGCATGCACTGGCTAAGCTGATTACCAAACTGTCTATTTCTGATCTCAGTGGAGGGATCTTTCATTGGCTTAGCCAGTGAACTGTGAAGTTACATCACCCAAGGTTAATGAATCCCTGGAACTCCACAGAAAGCAGACAACTGCAAATTCATTTGAAAATTAGGAATTATTTTTGATGATCTGTGGCCTCTTTATTATTTATACTTTTAAATTTTTTGCACCCTTGTGACACATGATGAAAAACTACCTAGCGGGCAACAAATGACCTCAGTTCCAAAAATTACAAATAGTTGAATGCAGCTATTTGCTATGTGTGTTCATTTTTGTTATCAACTACTTCTGCCAATATTAAAGTCAGTATTTTGAAACTATAGCTTCAAAAAATGAGATTAAGAAAATCTTCAATAATCTACACATTCAGCAAAATGAAAGTTTTTGTTTTTGCTTCATTTCAACTGTATAATGCTAACATACAGTATATTGGGTGACATTCGTAATGCATACATTTTACTATCAGCCAGTCGAATGTGTTTTGTATTTTGGGAAAGCTTGTAAATGCAGCTAAGTTAAGGTGAACATTACATTTTCTTTTCCTGTTAATAAATCTGTCTTTCAACTCAACACACATCACAGTTGAGTTGATAGTGGATAGTTTAGACAGGGTAGTAGAAAGTTATCCACATTCATATTTCCACTGTCATTTGCACCAACAGCAAAGTTTGGATCCCATTGACGAGGTGGCCGCCCTGATCGCTGCTACTGTGCATGATGTGGACCACCCAGGCCGCACCAACAGCTTCCTGTGCAACGCAGGAAGCGAGCTGGCCATCCTCTACAATGACACAGCTGTGCTAGAGAGTCACCACGCAGCACTGGCCTTCCAGATCACCACACGAGACGATAAGTGCAACATCTTCAAGAACATTGAAAGGTAAGAGATTCTTTACATAACCAATAGGTCACCCCCCCCAAAAATGAAAGATATCCTCATGTGTTATCTGCCCCGACTGTTGATAGATCGACTGAACATCACACAATCACCAAACACTAAAATGTAGTCAAATTTAGCCATTGTTAAGTGGATACAGCTTCAGTATGTCGCTACAAATCTGAAACAAACATAAAATATCTTTCACATTTGTACAAAGATCTCAACTAGTATAATTAAACTAATGCGTCATGTGCTCAAAACACAAATATTTACCTCAGTGTTTCCAAAATATCGGAGATAACAGTTTCGACTGACACAATGTCGAGAAGATAATTAGTATATTTTCATTTGGCACCAAACCAATCCTGTAATTTATTCCAAGTGCATTTGCTGACTTTGGTGATTATGTGTGATTTGATTGTGTAATTGTACTAGGGCTGCAACTAATAATTATTTTTATTATCAATTGATAAAAATAGTGAAAAATGCCTGTTATTAATGTGATTTTCTAAAGCCCAAGATGACCTGTTCTTTTTTATATATTTAATTTACTGTCACAGATCTTACATTTGAGAAGCTGCAACCAGCTAAAACAATTATTCAGTTATCAAAGTAGTTGCTGTTTAAGTTTCAACTAATTGATTAATGGACTAATCATTGCAGCTGTAGATTGCACCAGGAACCCAGATGTATGAACATTTTTTGCCAACTCTGTTTAATTAGATCAGTATACAAATGTTTTGTGTCACATATAATTAGTGATAGACAGAATGTTTGTATGTATCAACATGTAAATAAAAATCATATTTAATGTATTTAAATCCTTATTGAAATTAGTTTGTGATACAGGAGTAGCATCACCTGAAGTAGCACAGGGGATAAGCTAAGTCCGTATATGTGCCACTGAAAACAATACTGTGTGTGTGTGTTGACAGTGGCGGGGTAGTAATGTGATTTGAGTCCCAAAGCAGAATAGCTCACATGTGCTGGTCCCCTCAGAGGGGGAAGGTGAACAAAGCATCCATTCATCGCCACTGTCATTGCAGTCAGAAGAGGAAAACTGTTCACACGGGTTTCTGTGCTATTTACCACACTGGCATCTCACTCTCTCTGTTCTCTCTCTTTCTCATCTCTCCTGCACTTCACCTCCTTCTCCCATCTGGTTTCCCTCTCTCTCTCTCTCTCTCTCTCTCTCTCTCTCTCTCTCTCTCTGTGTAGGAATGAGTATCGAACACTACGACAGGCCATCATTGATATGGTGCTTGCCACTGAGATGACTAAACACTTTGAACATGTCAACAAATTTGTCAACAGCATCAACAAGCCACTGGCTGCTTTGGAGGAGAATGGGGTGAGATTAAAAATGAAATCATGCTGAAACACTCTTAAATGTTTTTTTTTTTTTTTTTTTCATACCTGTGTAGAAATAGTATTTCTAATTTTAGCAGTTTTTTTTCCTAAATAGATCAGTGTCCTGTCAGAGCAGGAAGGACACACGGGAGCATTCAGACTTTATATAAACACAACTATTGTAATCTCATTCTGTCACATGCTGTCACCGAATCGTACGTAGTCCAACAGTATTCAAGCAACAATAGTTGAAGAGCTTGAGAGATGATGATACTAGTTCAGGGGACTTGTGGCCTGTTGTTGCCTGGGCACAGAAATCTTTGTGGGGAGAGAATTTTACAACTTGGTAACATCTTTCTCGTCTCTGTGTGGAATGCTCAACACGGACATTTAAAAGTTCTCTTGCCTTTTAAAGGCAGGAATCATCCAAACAAACGATCTGACAACTGATTTTCCCCTAAATTCTTATATTGAATACAATCACTTTCAAAATCAGTCAGTTTAGACTCATGGTGCATTTAAGTGCTTTGTCTAAATTGTTACAGAGGTGAAGTTTAGTTGATAAAAGAAGTTCTAAATGCTTCCAGAAAAGGTCTTTGTGTCAAATATGCTGTCATTTAATTGCAGAGTTAACTTTGACACTTGAAGGTTTGGAATAAAACAGAGACCTCACTCATCTTGGCACAGAAAAATAGACCTTCTGTACTTCTGCTTAACATAATTCAATCTTGAAACATGCTGTAGCCTGCAAATCATGTGACTGCATGACGCATGCTGTAGTCTTTTACATGTAAGTGCAATGAATACAGACTCTCCTTCTCCATGAAGAAAACTAAAACCTTTAAACGTCGCCTGTGGAATACTTTATCCTCCCAGTTTGGTTTATGCTCAGACACAGTCGTATTTTTTTAAAGTTGTTCAGCTGATGTGTGTGATAAGGAGCTGTTTATTGCCACTAATAAGGAGAACTTCAGTTTTCTTTGTGCTAATGGTCTGCTTTGTTTTTTGGTTTCTTTTGTTATGTTTTTTTTTTTTTTTAGGGAAACAATGATGAGGAATCTGTCAAAGGCATTCTGACATCCCCTGAGAATCGCATCCTTGTCAAGCGAATGCTGATTAAGTGTGCAGATATATCCAATCCATGCAGGCCTCAGGAGCTCTGTATAGAATGGGCCGGACGCATCTCGGAAGAGTATTTTGCACAGGTAATGAGACAAAATAATATGGTGTTGATGGTGTGGGGAGAGGGATACGGCAGCTGCACTGTTTTTTTTTGTTTTTTTTTGTAATTTATGTATTCACTGTGCATGATGATCACTTGTGCCTTCATCTCTGGTACAGACGGACGAGGAGAAGAGACAAGGTCTACCGGTGGTTATGCCTGTGTTCGACAGAAACACATGTAGCATCCCAAAGTCCCAGATTTCCTTCATAGACTACTTCATTACGGACATGTTTGATGCATGGGATGGTAAGAGAGATACATACACGGCCACACATCTGCATACTGGTAGCATAGACAAACACAATTCAAATGCACAAATAACACACACTGTGGATAATTACTTCTACAATAGAAAAAGACAATTAGTGCCATGTAAAATGTCTGTTTACAAATCTTCAAAAGTAATGAGAAACATCCTTTACATTATTTAATACACCTGTCAAAGCAACTAAATGAAAGTATTGTCGTTTAAAAACATACTTTTATACCTACATGTACACAGTCTTGGGGAAACGCTGATTCGCTGCAGATACTGACCTTATAAAGCCGATCGGGTATTGGCTGGGACGTGACCAAGCCACATTAGATACAGTTTCTTTGTCAATGTCATTATGAAATTAATTGTTTCCACTATCAGTCATATTCATTAAGTCACAGTATGCCACCAACTCAGTGTTCAGTGCCACAGCAATCCCTGACCTCATCTTACCTTACATAAAAATGAATCCAATGACTTACACACAGTGAGGTATACAGATTTTAAATTTGGGAAAAAGAAAACACTGATGTTGGATCGGTACTGGGAATCGGTACTTAGTATCAGCAGCTGAGTTATAAGAATGAGTACCGAGAGAGAAAAAGCTGGATTGGTGGTTTTTTTTACAAAAATACTTAAATAATATAGTGGTGTTGATTTGAAAAAAAACTGTCATTAAAACCTGTCAAATCAACTTCTTTTATCTTCTCTTCAGCTTTTGCAGACCTCCCCAATCTTATGCAGCACTTGGACAACAACTTCAAGTACTGGAAAGGCCTGGATGAGAGGAAGCTGCACAGCCTGCGACCGCCTCCAGAGTAGGTGCTGCAGTGTTCGGCCCCGGGACTCTTCAGTCCGGGGCAGCCGTCCTCTCTCCCGCTGGGGCTTCTCTCTCCCTGCCAGCCCAGCCAGCCAAAAGGGCCTCCTCGCCTTCACTCTCCTGCTTCTGTAGCACGCCAAGCGTCCACACGTCCGTCGATACAGAAACCACAGAAGGACTTCCTGACGGGCAGTTGCAGCAGTAACACTGTTGGCTTTACAGCCCTGTCAGATGAGAACTGTGACAAACAGACACGGACACAAACGGTATCCTTATGAACTTCTTGTGCCTCTCAGGCATTCGCAGTGTAGCTGGTCGAGTGACATAACTGAGAGAGGAGTCCTTACAGGCCTCCTGGCAAAGCATCCGTCCCCTAATTACCACGTGGGCTCTCCTGTTTGCCTGTGAAGTTGAGTAAAAACTGCTTGTTTATAGAAGGAGCGAGCAACACTGGAGGGGTGGATGGAAGTATGGTCTGGATATGAAGGTGTCCAATCCTCGTCAGGCCATATCACCTTTGACCTCCATCCCTGTGCTCAGAGCAAGGCAGGACTGCTCCTTCTGCCCCTGGAGGCCACACCATGAAAGAACACTCCACTGCTTTTTTTTTTTTTTTTTTTTTTTTTTTTTTTTTTTTTGTGGCAATATTTTCATGAACACATCTAAGTTGACACGTAGCTGTCATAACAGACATGTGGGGGGTGGGGATGCTTTCTTTTCGGGTCAGGGAGTGGATCTTCACTTTAGGCCACTGCTGAGAGACAAAAACCTCAACATCATGATCATAGGTATCTAATTACAGATGATTTGGTATTTTAATTTTTCTTAGATGTTCCATATTTTCTATATCAAAATTCATACATGAATTAGTTGATAAATAAATAAGAACAAAAATGAATTTAAAAAGAGAGAGAGAAAAGCCAAAGCTGATGAAGACAAATACTACTATAACTCTCAAAAATTTACAATTATTATTCATATGAAGCATTACCATATTAAACATTTTTATTTTCTTATCAAAAGTACAGTACCAGTTTGAATGAACACTTTTGTATTGCACTGTAAACAATATTAGAAATGTCTACGTCTCAGTGATTTGTCCAGGGATGGGATGTTGCATTGGAGAATAAGCTGTTATTGTTGATCATCAGGAGTTTGCGTGTATGTGTGAGTGTGTGTGTGTGTGAGCGTGTGTGTGTGTGCGTGTATGCATGTGTGGGTGTGTTTGGGTTGTAGGTGCGGGTGTGTGGGTGTATTCATTGTTGCAACAATCCCTTACTCTTGGTTTAATGCTGTAAACCGCTTGACATTTGACAACAGCAGAAATATGTGAAAACATTTTGGACTTGAAAATTTTTTCTCCCAGAAATTTTTGTATCTGGTTTATCCTACTGAAAAGACTGCCTTATTTTATACAATATTTATACAGTACATCCCACTGTGCAACTGCAACGGACATCTGGAGTTTTTATTATAACATAGTCAGAAGGTTATGTTCAAGTAAATCTCAATATTTTTATAGACAATGAATTTTACACTGGATTTGCAGCAAATGAGATCAGCCATTCTAGCTATCTGAATACCTGTGAATTGGATGGTGACACACAGCATGTATACAGAGAACTAAATGGTTAAGAAGGATGTGGATCGCAGAGTTGTCTATCACTGTCTTTAAGCAGTCTCCTAGAGGCCAGCTTGCATTGATTTTTGATCAAACATCATTCTATTTTGGCCACTTGTCCAACATCCTTATGCACAGACCCAGGGAACAGCTTTTTGTTCAAGGTTGGTTTCAGATTAGGATACTAATATATGTTAAAGATTGTTGCTTATTACGAATATTTCCTCTTTAAACAGTATATAAATGCCATAACAGCTAAGCAAATGATGGTTAATAAGATGTATTGACCATGGTTATCTTTGTTTCTCTCTTATGACAGAATTGTACACTCAATCAGGGGATTTGTTTGTTCCTTCTGATTCACATCTTGGTCTGAAGGCACGGAAAAAAAATAGAAATTATTCAATGAAAAATAAAATAATGTCAATTATGAGTTTGCAGACTGTTTCCTGCAATAATACAATGTCTGTCCTCTTACTTATGTCATCTTTCTCATTCATTCTCTAATGGCTTTATCACAGTGTGTCTTATTAATATATTGAATTTTTGCACTGAGTCGGTGTAGCTGTTTAACTGCCTCTTTAGGTTTCTTGTTTTACTTTGAACTATCTTACTTTTAGAGAGAGGACTGACCTAGTTTAAATCAAAGGTTTTCAGTTTTTTGAATGGAGGCAAGAGATGCATCTCAAACTGCATGTTGGCTAGCCGACACCCAGGCTTGGACGTCTACTGTACCTACTATAAGAAGGACATAAGAAAACAAAATGAAACTCATTGTTTATATAACTGAGATGGCACATGGAGCAAATCTGCATTTCTTCTTCTAAACTGGGATATTCTCCAATTTCAACAATGAGTGGTAGAATACCAGATAATGCTAAACTGAAGTAGGAACAACCTTACTCTTCTGCCGGTCACTCCTCATTTATCATTTTAAAATATTCAAAAGTATTTAACAGACTGCATGAACAAACAAACCATTACAAGTGAGAGTTACATAAATGATTCATATTTTCACAGCTGATATGCCAGTTTGATCTGCATGGAAAACTACTTGGGTGGGGGGTTTGGTTTAAGAAGATGTATTTATTGCCTTATGTCCTGCCATGATCTCCATGCCATCAAGAATGCTAACAGAGGTTTTTAAAAAAGAATCCGTTTTACCTTTTTAATATGCTCTCTATATGCCATCTATGGTGTAAGTATGAAGTTTCTGCTATTTATGGTTCTTGAGTTATCATGTTCTTGAGAAAAGTTAAGCCAATTAGGTCATTAATTAGCAAAATGTTTCATACCAACATGTTTGCCTTTGTCTACTACATATCGGGTTTCAGTTTGAACTTGAACTTGTTAGCGTAAAGTGTTAAGGACTTGCAGCAACTTCTGGGAAGTCTGTGTTCCCTCATTAATATCCAACTTTATGCAGCAGGACACTCCAAAATCCAATAAAATCATCTACTCCATGTCAGGTACAGTCCATGAGGTCTATATGTGTCTACAGAGTGACAGATGCCAGCATGACATCATAATGCCATGCATACCATGTACTATGGTGGCAGGACATTAAAAAACTACTTGGCTGAAGTTAGGAAATGATTGTGGTCATGGTTTAAAAGAAGACAATGCTGGCTGTTGGTAGGAAATGGGAAATAAACAATGGTTCCTGATCTTTAAATCATTTTACACAACCTCCGCCCTTCGAGAGAGGTGGTGTTCTATTGTTGTGTATTTTGCACTGTTTAACATTATTTGCCAATGCAGAAAATCAAGAAGTGAAAGAGAAGGCTGTGTTTTTTTTCTTTTTTTATGCAACCCTAAATAGGCTGTTTGAATTCTGCCTTAAGGTGATGTCACACTGGCTTCGCATTCAATGAAATTACTCACACTCAGCCATGAAAAAAGGATGTACAATGTAATGATTGATGTACGTAGTAAATAAATACTTAGCAGAGGGATTACAAACAACACAATCTGTAAGAGTGATGGTACAGTTTGTAATTTGCTAGTCTAAGGTTGTACTAAACATGGTGATGCAAAATGCTAGAATAATATTTTTTCAGTACAAGTAGGCTACTTTTGGCCGCATGGTCAGAGTTCCAATTTTCTAAAAAATTAATTATTTTTTCAATTACTCTCTACTCTTTTTCCATTTGTTCTTTTTTTTCAGATGTTTGTGACGTTATTCATATTTTAAATGATATACATCTCCCTCCTCTCTTTGACAAACAACTATAAACACTTGAGATTGTCTTGCAAACTAGTTCTGAGAGATCAAAAATTGCCCTGACTACCTTAAATGGGGGCCCAGCCGCTACTAATTGCCCCAGACCTCCCAAGCAGGTTAATCCAGCCATGGTCATGAACTCACAATGAGGGTCTTAACTCTTTGGATTTTCCTTCTTTTAATCACACATTTTAAATCCACTGGCTGAAAGTCCGTCCTGAGTCAGTTTAACTCCTATGTTTTCCAAACTAGGTGACCTATATTCTTTAATGATCTACAATTAATATATATAGTTAAACCGAGTATTACGTAACAAGAAAACAGCTCAGCTTCCGGTGAGTCAGACTTTGCGACAAGTCGTCAGAAGAAATCGCCGGCGCCAGAGAGAGCAGACTAATGGCTACCGTCGTCCATCGTCAACTACATTATAAACTGTTTTAATTTTACCGCAGATTTAGTGGAGTGGTGCTATGTCTTCGGGAATGACTGGACAAACACCGTAAGTACCCGCTTAGTTTGTTAGAGGTAAATCTGTCGGGTAACATGAGTAACGTTGCACGGGCCAGCTAAGCTAAGCTAACGCTAGCCGCGGTGTTTGTCAGTTGAATCTGTTGATCTGAAGCTTTACCACCAGCTAGCATACGTGGTTGTGGCCTGCTAATAAATGTTAGCTTGAGGGGTATGATTAGAACGTTTAAAAGTAAATAGGAGTATGTTAAAACAGGGTGTGTGTTACCTATATAGTCGAATACTAGATTCACATTAAGTCTTAAGTGGATATATTGGTAATATCTACGTCCAAAAACAGGATTGGAACTTGCTAAGTTAGCTACCTCAGCCTTGCTTCACTTTCAGTTAAGGCTAGCTAACTTTGGCTTAGCTGAGAATAAACAGTTAACCAACGTTACAATTACGCCTGTTGATTTGGAACAAAAAGAGAGAGTGTTGTTAACTTCATCCAAAAGACAAAGTGTTTATCAACGAAAGACTTTAAAAAGTCCACAATTTGCATGCAACATCTCATATCGGTTGGTTGCAATAAACAGCCATCTACAAACGTTAACGTAACCAGTCTCGTTTCAGGTATTGGATACGTCCCATCAAGTGTTTTTGTGTGTGTGTTTATATGTCATTTCCACATCACAGTTTGGGCTACATAGTTCACTAATCTGATTGTGGAACGCCAATGTTTTAAACGGAGAAACTTTTAATCTTGAACACGTTTCGCCATTCATCTAAGATTTAACAAATCACCTTCAATATTGATATGGCCAGTCGGTTTTTCCTTTGAGTTTGTTTTTTGATGTTTTTCTTGTTAAAATTGTGAAGCAATTGTATGCTCATTTATTGTTTTTTTGTTTTATCCTCAGGTGCCTAACCAGCCGATGGGATCAGCCAGCCCAGTCTAAACAGAGTATAGATGTGAGGCAGCAGAGGAGCAATGAAAGTGCAGCCCACCCTGTCTCTTTATCAGGAGTGGTGAGCACTGCTGGTTCAGACAGCACAGTTTCCCAACCACCACAAACAGGAGAGAAACCAGCACCTCAGGGAGGAGTTGAAATGGCCGCAGCCATGGCTGCTAAAATAAATGCCATGTTAATGGCAAAAGGAAAGCTGTTGACTCCTCCTCCATTACTTGCAAAGGTGCACATGATTTAAAAACTGTAGCAAATAGCTGTATAATATGTCTTGCTCATGCAGTAACTAGAGGACTAACAGTTTCTTGTCTTTTAGACCCCTCCAAGTGTGCCTGTACCAACCACTACAGAAGAAATGGTTGTCACAGAGGTTGACATAAATGATGTACCACTGAATTGTAGGGACCTCCTTACTAAAGGCAAAACACAGGAGGAGGTAAGTGGAAAGTGACCATTGTAGTGTCGTGACACACCGCAATAGTTTAAAAAAAAAAAAAAATGGGGAAAATTAGAAATGTTGGTCTTTGTACAGCTTTAAATGAAAATTCTCTAATATAAAATATTACCTTTTTCAGATACGACAGATTAGTGGAGCAGTTGTCTCAACAAAAGGTCACTACATGACTGAAGCTGAAAAGGGAAAAGGAGGAGGGTATGTATGAAGACGTGATCTTGTTACTGCAAAAGTAGCCCTCCATATATTAAAGTTTTACATCACTGGATAGTAGACAAGATATATGGTATTTATTTGTTTCTGTAAAAAACTCAAGATCTTCTTATTGTTTTGAGTAGTTGTTGCAAGCTGTACAGAATCTCTCTCCTACAAATCTTATTGCTTGCCAAGAAAATCATAACATATTTACCAGGAGTGAAACATCTATCAAATAAAAATGAAATTTATCAATCACCACATAAAATGAATTGTCTGAGTGTTAAAGTGGTAATAGAGAAAAAAGAAAATGCTTGGAGGAGTGTGAAATTTCTGTGGTGTCTGACATTTCTGATTTGCTTTCTTCTAGACAAAGACCTTTGTATTTGCATGTCCAGGGAAAGACTCAAGAGCATGTCAATAGTAAGTAGCACCTTTTTTCTTTTTCTTTTTTCTTTCTTTCTTTTTCTTAATCTGTTCAGTATGCAGAGTCTGGCATTGTCTTTGTGTAATGTAATTCACAAATGTCGTAAGCATTCCAAAGCCTGTTCTTTGGCAAGGGATTGAATATAGCTGACATCCATGCTGACTCTTCTGATCATCAGAGGCTGTTATGAGGATAAAGGAGATCATCTCTGAGGGCGTGTTGAGGGCCTCAGCAGCATCAGGAGGACAACAGGTGCCTGTAATACCTCCACTCACACTCTACCCTCAGCCTCCTCGGCCTGTTGTTCCCCCTCCTGTGCCACGGACTCCCAACACCAACTCAGTGCCAGGCCAGGGACATCGGCCTGCAGCTCCTCATTCAGGGGTAGGCAGACATGATGTCTATGTCGGAGTTCAAGCCTCTACAAACACTTGTGAAAAATGTATAGGGTTTTCTGGCAGTTTTGCACTTATTTCCGTATTAGCCGCTGAGAACAAAAGTATTTTACTTTTCTATTTTCTAGCTGTACTTTGATGTTTATTTCGTAATTAAGTGGTATTAAACATTGCGGCTAGAGCTAGGATTTATGTAAGAGGACTTAGCTGTGTTGGCTCATAATCTATTATTATATCATATTTTACTGGGTAATATTTTTTTATACACAAGCAGAAACATGACAAGAAAAAATAAAAAACCATTGTTGACACATTAGCCTATACAGATCATCAAAGGAATACTAGGTAACAGCATTTATAAAACATTTTTAATTCATGTGTAAAGCGTCAATTATACTCCCTTTCGGACAGACACACACAGCTGCGGACACAGTTCTTATATTTCTTTCTAGTTTGCTAGGAGAAAATCATGTGCAGTTGGTGCCTTAGTAGTTTGGCACCAACTGCGCAGTGTGTTGTATTAGGTCTGTTTTTCTGAATATCTGTTGTACCAGGCTTCTAATTGAAAATGGAGGTAAAGAATGTGAGGCAAGTGAAGACTATGTTGCCTTCACTGATACCCACCTCCCAAATGAAGTAGCAGAGAGAACGTCCTTGGTCTACAGAGGAAAGCCTTGGATTACTGCATCTGCTTACAAAGCTGTCTGTCTAGTCAATGTTTAGATGTCAACATACAACCCAAATGTGCAGGGCATATTAATAAATCACATTTTCTTCTCATCCTCAGAGCTTTGTGCACACAAAGATTTTTGTGGGTCTGGACCAGGCGTTGCCTTCATTTAATGTGAATGAAAAGGTCGAGGGTCCAGGAGGCTCGTACCTGAGTCACATCCAGACAGAGACAGGGGCTCGAGTCTTCCTCAGAGGAAAAGGTTCTGGCTACATTGAACAAGCATCAAAACGAGAGTCTTTTGAGCCTCTTTATGTTTACATCAGGTATGGTCATTCTAAAGGCTCACCTTTTGCAAATTTATCATGTTCCTTATTCTACTTCAACTTTCTTGAGTGGTTATGCTGCTGCTTATAGGCAGTTAAATAATAATCGTAATAAAAATCATCAAATCATCAAAAAAGCTTAAACAGTGAGTCAAACTGGCCGGTACGGTCTGTTTTATCCAATTTTAACTTTTTGTGTTACAGCCATCCAAACGCAGCTGGATTGGAGGCAGCGAAGAAACTCACTGAGAGTCTGCTGGAAACTGTAAGTTCGTGATATTGTCACCATAAATAAATACTTTGGATTTGGTCTGAATTTAATCAAAGACTAATTGGAGGTATAAGAAGGTGAAACTATTAAAGCATATAGTTTTCACTGATACCCACCTCCAAGAGTGAAAGCGGTAGTGTGAACCACCTGATCTCCAGTGATAGGTTTTGAGTGCTCTGCACCTACCCACAATACAGTTGTTGAAAATAAATCACCACAGCCTTTTTGGATTTTTATTCAGCTCTTTACATAGTTTTTTCTTTTGTCTTGTTCTCCAGGTGAGAGCTGAACATGCCCGAATGGTGTCGATGTACACGGCCACAGGCTCAACACAACGTGAGTATTCTTTTACTCTTTGTAACTAAAGAGGCAAATTCCAACAGAGTGACCAAATATCAGGTACTAGCTGGCTGCATTCTTCTTGTGGTAATTAATCCTTTGACATCTTTAGTGCCTCAACAATAGGTTGAAATAGTAGGTCAAATTTTTCAGAACACCCTGTTATTGATCCATGTGATATATGCTATTAACTCCACATTCTATACTTTCATTTCAGCATACGCAGCACATGGATTTCCACCTAATAGCAATTACTCTAGCCAGGGGTCCTGGTATAACTACCCAGCAAATGGGTATGCTGGCGGCTATTCAGCGTATCCAGGAGACCGTGGTTATTGGAGTAATGCAAATGGTCCCCCAAGTCATTCTAACATGTCGACAAACCCTCCATCTTCTCAGGCAATGGTTCAGTATCCGGTGTGTCCTAGGAAACCACATCCCTATCTCGTCCAGGTAATTATCAAAGATTAAAGCTGCAAACACTTACTGATTAAAGCACTAGTTTAAATCTGTACACACACACAGACACACACATCACAAGCTTCATTAAACTTATTGTTAAAAGGTTTTGAGCTCAGTGTTAATGCAATAAACCATATAATGTCAGGACACATGAAACCTTGAGGCCTTGGAGTAGTTGTGGTTTTTTTAAATCCTGCTGCAGCATCAGTGTGTATATGTTGGTTTTGATCTACTTAAGGACCCTGGCAGCAGTGAGACAGTGGAACCTGAAGCATCTTTGAGCAGCCCCCCTGACTCAGGAAGTCCCAAGCGTCATTTCCACGAGGCAGCCAAGGAAGAGCAGGTTAGCTGAAGAGTAACACCTACACATATTGCTCCAAGTTCATTCTGGCCATTTTAACATGAACATGTCTCTTACTCATTGATTGAACTGTTTGACTTACTGATGAAAGTTTAAGTCTTCACCATTCAGAGAATGGCGAAGTGTCAATCATCACTGCTACACCACAAAAATCACTGAACTACAAAACACACAATTATATTCCATGAAATAATTGCATGAAAAAAAATCTTTCACCTGGGTTCTATTTGTTTCTATCTCTTGCCTATTTTTAGACTAGTTGAGTAGTGAGTTACATAAATGTTGTTTAAACATCAAGTTACCATCCTGTTACAAATGACTACGCTAAGTTGAGCATGGATTTTAGCTGCATCACTGTTTATTCTGAAAATAGATACAATGCTGACCATAATGGAAATTACCAGCTCTGCCACACATAACTTTCAAGGTTTAAATAATAAAATAAACGAAATTTGGGCTTTTTAGAATAGTTAAAATGTCTTGCTCATTAGTTTTAGCCTTTCCTGCCTATATAAATATTTTTTTCTTTAAAAATGAAAGTTTTTAAAGGAATAAAAGTAGGTTCGAACTAGTTATTCCTATATTTTATTGTCCCCATGCATACAAGAGGACACTGTTGGCCACTAAACAAGGGTTTCTTGTAGTACGCACAGCAGAGAATATGTCTTTGGTAAGAGAGAGTTAAAATGAAAATAGAGAGTGCGAATGAGCTGCTGTTTATGCTGTTGTTTAACCACAGTCTCTCTCTCTCTCTCTCTCTCTCTCTCTCTCTCTCTCTCTCTCTCTTTTTCTTTCATTCAATAACCAACTTTCAACTGCATTTTCTTCTATGTAACTTTTGACCACTTCAAATAACTACAAAAAATTAAGTTTGAAAATAAAAAGTTTAAAGATTAGCAGCACTAAACACCTGAAAAGGTTTTGTTTCTATTGTGGTCAAACCTTTTTTTTTTTTAATATGCTAAAAGGTTTGAATTGTTTTACATTTTAGCCAACCAGCCGCTCTCCAGAGGGTCCTCCTCATCAGGAGTCTGCACTTCCTGCCTCCAATGTTGGAGAGGAAAAAGCAGTAGAAAGGTCTGTTAATAGATCTCATTTCCTTTGTATGTTATTCTTCATGAATCTTGTGTGGTGTAGATACTGACGCTTTTCTCTTTTCAGGATTCTGATGCCTCCACCACCACCTCCCTTTGTGACTCCTTCCCCTGTTATGCGCAAAAGGCCGAGAGACGCAGTGACAGATGATCTGACCAGTCAGCCCAGCAGCACCGCGTCAATGGGTATGCATTTCTTTATTTCCTTATATTCTGAGAGCCCGAGTACTCAGACATTTCTTCTGTAGAGTTGTCTGTTGCATGAAATGGCATCTCCCCCCGTGGAGGAATGGGGGAGGAGTGGAGACCTGTGTGAATCTCTCCGCTGGTAGAACCCACTAACACGGTCTTCTTGTATATGTTTTTTGTCTTTCCCTTGTTTTCTCTCTCAACATGTGTCCCCGGACCTGCCTGTTATGGATGTGTGCTGTGCTGCCGTTTCATTTGATATCTTCCCTCCCCTGGCTGTGGATCAAACGAACTCAAAAACCACCGCTAACATGGGGCTCCTCAATGGGTTTCCTTTTTGTTTTGTTCTCGCTTTGTCTCTCCCCCTCTCTCTTTGCCTCCCGTCTTTCTCTTATGTCTCCCACCTCCTTGCTACTTTTCTCTATCTCTCCATTTTTATTGTGCCCTTACAGGTGCTCAAGAGGATGTGTGTGAGAAGAAGTCTAAAGTGGACGAAGATGCATCAGGGCTTGTGCCCTACGGAGGAGATTCCTCTGACGAAGAGGAGGAGAGGACACGCAGCAGTAAGACAGCTAACTCATAACCCCTTCCCTGCCCTGCCCCGCCCTGCCCCGCCCCACCCCCACTGTCCAGGATACTCGCAGACCCAAAGTCTACATTCAGTTTATCAGCGCAGTTCTTAAACTCAAACCCCATAAAAGGAAAAATCCACCCTTGTGTTGAGGACTATACCAGTGTTTTGCCATATTTTCCCCATTTACTGCAAACAACTTCTTTATTGCTGACCATTCTCCAAGCTAAATGTTTTTGTTTGACTTTTTGCTTCAATCCAAGCAGACATGGTTTTGCATTCTTCTCCTTATGGCATTTAAAGACACCTTCATATTTCTGGTGCCACTTTATGTACTGACCTCAATTTTGGGACTTAAAGGGCAGCTGACTAAGCTTTGTCAGGTTGACAGTATTTATATAGAAGTAATTAGGGTTGGGCAATCATCTTTGTTTTCATATTGTTTTAGGGCTTTCACTCTCACTTTACACATCAGTGCAGCCTCTGTCATTTACCTCTATTTTGGTTCATTTTACATAGTGATCACAAAATAAGTTGATCTGCAGCTACAGCTTGGTTCTCCTGAATGGAGATTTCTCCCTCTCTTGGTCTAGTTCTACTGTGGGCCTGTGTTTGTTAAGACAAAGTCAGTTGCAAATCAAATGCACTACAAACATTCACAAATGTCAAAGGCTTCAGCTAGATATGTGAGCCCGGCAGAAGGTAGCAGAGTGGATAAAAGAGCCATAGTCACGTGTGCCTCACACACCTAGAATCAAGCAGCAGGCCTACGGAGAATGGAGATACAAGGTTTTGTCAGAATGCACCGCTCACTCGTCAGGATTGGCAGATGGGAAAGGGTGCACAAAGGGGTTGCTTTAAATTAAGCAGCAGTCATCTGTGCTGATTAATGATGATTGCCAAAAGGGGAAAAAAATCTTTGATCATTGATAGACAATCTGTTTACGGTTCTTATCAGTAATGAAGCACAGATGATAACAAGCCGGCTGAAGATGCTAAAAAGCTACGGTATGCATGTTTTTTGAATTATCACCAGTCTCTGATGTTTGGTGCTTTCCTGGACTCTCAAGGAAGAATGGTTTTCATTTTCTTGTCCTGGTGTTGGTTTTGCTTTGTGTACATCTGTTTCAGTTAGTTATTTTTCATGCATCTCCCAGAATGCCTTTCTACAATCCCTCTAACAGTGGGTTGGTTTTAGTCAAAGGTGGGCATGGGTAAATGTATGCCCACCTACATAGCAAATGTAAATATAGATAGCCTGCCGAGTAGTGCATTGGCACTGTACATACGTTTGTAGCCACATGACTTAAAATGCAATACATCATGTGGCTCAATGTTATTAGCAAATTTTGAGGATATGGTTTTAGAGAATATAAATCTTTTTCTCCCTTGTTATTGCTCTCATGATAGAAGCTTTTCTTTTTTACTCCAAGGGTCAGACTCTAAAATGTGCACTTGCCAAAAAAAAATTTGGTCCAGAAAAGCAAAGCACATCATCAGCAGCCACTTTTAACAGTGTGGAAGTATTCAGGGTGGATTTTTCCTTTTCAGATGTGAATACAATTGTATAATAACAAATTGATTTTTTTTTCCTTCTTAAAACCATTTATTTCATTTTGCAATGCATCTTTTGTTAAACAGAAACAAGCTCCTTATTTTCACTTTTGAATTTCAACACTTGGTCTGCTGCAGTTACTGATGGTATAAGTACATATTGTAAAATTCAGTGAAACTTTTTCTTATCTTGGAAAATGGTGTATGCCTGTTCCCATGGAATACTACAATAAAAACAACTGAAAACCCCTTATTGTTTCTGGATCACACACATTTTATACTATTGAGGAAGATCAGCAGATGTCTACATCCTCAATGACAGGTGTTTCTTAATGGGGATGTCCCCCAGAATTTTATTTTATTTTTTATTTTTTTAACCAAAGTGTTGTCTCTTCCCACCAGGCTTTACATTGTGATACTAGACATGATTGCTGGTGTCAGGTGAATGTGTACTCGGGAGCCTCTATACTGTTGTGTACAGTAAGAGCTCCTGGGTTGTCCAGGCCAAAGCAGGGGTGGACATAACTTTGGAAGTGACAGTGGAAGGTGTGTAGGTGTTGTTCCAGATCCACATTAAAGAAGGACAGCGTCCCCCTCTCGTAGTCCAGTGCCACTCCTATCCGCACTGGGTTCACTGTAATCCTCAAGTCAGGACTCCAACCATTGTGTAAAAACTCATATTTATGCCTAAAGGGAAAAAAAAGAGGACAACTTAATGATTCTGAATAGCAAAGAAGTTCTAAATAAAAAGCTTTTGCTCTCATTCTGTTGGGATAATTTTCCCTCTGTCAGCCAGTAGTGAAGCAGATGCTGAATCATGAGCCAACAGCCGGATTTCAAATCGCTGCGGATTAAAGAAAATTAGAAATGTGATTGTTGAATTGTGCGTAGGCAGAGTCACCAGGATGATGCCCACAATGGAAACCACATTCAGGGCTTGTGTGATATGGTGGCTCTGAATGATTTGCTAAATGTGACGATTCAACTGTCCTGCTTTGTTCCAAGAAGAGTTGCCATAGCAACACATATAAAGTAACAGATCTTCAACTCTGGGCTTTTCTACCTTCAATGGGCTTAGTTTTGCATAGAGCGGATCCACAATTTTTTTTTTTTTTTGCTTAGGAAATGAAATTTTCTTGTGGCTAAAAATACAGTCTTGGCCCAGTTTCCATGAACTGCAGTAGTAGTCCCTGAGAAGATCAGCAAGCTAATTCTGATCTCAGATTGTTTGAAAAATCTGCATCTACTTGGTCTGTGTAGTGCCGTGCAAATGAAAGCCAGTTTGTCCTCTACAGCTTGCACAACAAACAGGAATAACTAAGCAACAAAACCAGGGCCACTTTAACCTTTGTTTTGTTTAAACTTTTACTTCCTCATTGTTCGGGGTCCCACAGACCCCACTGCTGTCTGTGTAAATATTATATTATTGCAAAATCAATGTTTTTAGTTCAAATATTTTTTCTTGTCTTCTGACCTTACTGAAAAACCCAACATATGTTCAAAGTATTGAAGTTGTGACCATTTCCTCTGCCACAAATTGTTACAAACACATTGTTATTGCACCAAGTAAGAACATATGGGCTTTGTGCAAACAAATATTTACACCTTTTGTTTGCTAAAAACTCTCGCTGACATATAAAACTCCAGTAATGTCACTCCACAGAATAACATGCTACAGTGTATAAGTGACTGTTATGCAACTCCAATAACAGAAATCCTAATAGACTTATTTTGGAGGAGTAGTGCTGTGCTATAAGTACTGGCAACACCACAGAGCATGAAAATCCATTGTATATAATGATCATATATAACCCCAGATGGGCTGAACAGAACATTAGAGTTAATAAGATCCACAGTGGTGCTATTTTAACAGAAGTTGCACTTTTACCTGGTTGGAGTGAGAATGTGTCTCATACACCAGGAGGTGTTGTTGGCTCCGAGGTACGAGCTCCTCTCTGTGTCCATATATGCAACTCCAATCCTGAACTCTGTCCCATCATCTACCTCAACTTCCCAGTAATGTCTGCCTCGCACTGGAATCAGATCTCCCAGGACAGCTACACATCTGTAGGTACAAACACACACACACACACACACAATGTACATATTTACATTCATAAAATGGAAATCTTGAAAGTCCCAATTATTTAGCCATTGTGTTCTTTACCTGGTAAAGGTGTTATCATCAAAGGCCATAGCACTAATAGACAGCTCCTCATCTCCATAAAACATGGTGAAGCCATCTTCGGAGATGGACAGGCAAGGATGGGCAGTCTCCTCCAGGAGATGGAAGAATGTACCTGTACAGGTGAACAAACATTGAATGTGCCAAAAGTTATCGTGCTAATTAAGTAAGTACATTTACCTTTTTGCTAACAATTTTGAGGCAATATTACTTTAGCATTTTCATGAATGGCTACTTTATTCTTCCATTCCACTACATTATTTTACAGCTTTGGTTACTTTTCAGATTAAGACTTCAAAAATAAATAAATAATGAAAAATATCTTTTTTTTTTTCTTTTTTTCTTTTTTTTAAGTCTTTGCATAAAATATGATGCATTGTGACCAAAACAGCAATTTATGAAGCAGCGAAAATTAGCTGCACTGCAATCATATGCATGTTAATCTCCAAATCCCCAGGTTCCCAACCTGGGACCCACACAAGGGGTCAGGAGGTGCGTCTATTGGAACGCCAGATAGTTATAGGAGTGAGAAATTATTCAAAAAATAATCTGCAACACATTGTTCATTTTTGTTCTAATGTTTTTGTTTTTTTTCCTTCTGAAATAATTCATGGTTCAACTTCTTCAGTATTCAAACATATTTAAATGAAACAATGTGATCACTCATCAGTTGAACTGCTCATTACTTACAGATACTTATCCTGTGATGACGGTTCAAGTCCACATTTCATTTTGTTTCATATTATGGGTTCAAATTTTTGGATGATTACTTTTACTTTTGATACTTCAAGTATTTTGCTGCTAGTACTTTTGTTTAAAGGGATATATTTATAAATTGATATGACTACTTTCACTTCAGTAGATGTATAAATACTTCTTCCACCACTGGCCAAAAGTTTCATGGACAGGCTGGACCATGATTTCTCTCACCTGTTGTAGAAACTATAATGACGTCACTCCTGTCGCTGGGCCCGCCAATGTTGACTGCTCTCACAGAGATGAGGTAACGCTGTCCAGTCTGCAGTTGGATAAGACACTGACAGGTGGGCACGGCTACTATAGACCTGGGGGATTAAACATTGTGACAGAAGGCTGATATCACTTCTAAACATATTAAATGCAATATGATATGAACTTTTTGGATTGCCCTTTATTTGTAAACCTCTACTAGAGATGAAACCCTTGAAATAAGATCTTCTCTAACTACTTCTGAAATACTAAGTGGATAAATGGGGTGGTTAAAAAGAAACTTTGTCATATTTAGACCATGGAGCTATATTAATTAAGGCAGGTTAGATTCCTATATGCAGAAATACACAGAATATTCAAATAAATGGTTTGTTCTATGAAATGTCCAGAGGAAAAATGAAAAATGACCCCAAATGTGAGGACAGTATTCTAGCTGAGGCTAACAGTGCTGCAGGAGCTGAAGCTAAGAATAGATTTTCTAGGACAGAGTGTGTCTTGATTCAGCAGCTCTATAACCATGGGACCTCAAAAATCCCAGGCAAGCACTAATGCAGGCTTTTGTTTATGGATATAAAACGAAGCCAAAGCCTTATTAAAGGACAGGCCAGTGAAGACTAATATTGTGGGGGACTGCATCTTTGAAGATTTATTTCCAGTGGAGCATTCCTGTTTCAACTAAGTTAATCTTATTTATCTTTGTGCGTGAATTCTTAAAAAAAGAAAAACAAGCCAGATCTCAAGGAAATGCACAATTAAATCTTGACCTTGTTTCTGTGTCAAATCTGTCAACTGTAAGCGTATGTCAACACATTCTTACTCAGTAACACCACTCTCTGTGCCATCAGTACCCATCTCACTCAGCTCCACGTTGTAAGAGTCTACAGGGTTGGTGTTTCCTGACTCCCAGCGGATCAGAGCAGCCTCTGGACAGCTTGTACACTCCCTCTGCTTGATCACCGGAGGCGACGGCACTAGGGAGCAAGGATTTAAGACTTTATTCTCTCTAACATCAATCAAGTGAGGCTGGAGTATTTACAAAACGGGGGTAAAAAATACATCTGAAACTGGTTTCAGGGGACATCCAGACAACAGAACAATTATTTCAGCTGTCAGGTTTAGTGAGTCTTCGTGTAGTTTAAGGAGGGTGACATTTTTTACCTGTCATGTATAAGGCCTTCTCACTCGCTGGGCTGATGCCAGTGGTGTTGGTAGCCGTCACCCACAGCTCATACTGAGCATTAGGCAGAAGATCTGTCACAGTGCAGTGGGTCTCCTTCACTTTCACCTTGCTTTCTGGAGAAAAAGAACAGATTTCAAAACCCATCACTAGTGTCCTTTGGAGAAATGAGAGATTCCCCACATCAGCAGATCCCATTTCAACAGTAGATGGTGTTATCATGCAGTCAGTGTGTCTGTGTTATACCATGTGGTGCACAGGTACTGTCTGCTGGCATGTCCTCCAGCACTGGTCTGTAGTAAAGCTCATAATACTCCACCGTGTCATCAGAGAACAAACTCCAGCACACGCGCAGAGACGTCTGGGTGGCAGAATTGGGCATCTGGGGGTTGATTACTGGGGCAGATGGAGCTGTTTATAAATTAGAGAAATAGTATAGTAAGGCATAAAAATGTCAAAAAACATCATGGTATATTAAGGCATGAACACCTCATAGTATAATAAGGCATAAAGAGTTATAGTATAGTAAGTAACTTGACAGTCTGATTGACTGTGTGCTCTTTTTCATATTTCTGTCAGAAGATATCATCTGTTCAGGAAGGCATAAAAAGGTCAAAAAATGTCATAGTATTGTAAGGCATAAAAAGTCATAGTATAGTAAGGCATGAAATTGTCAAACAATGACATAGGCATGTAAGGCATAAAAACATCATAGTATAGTAAGGCATGAAATTGTCAAACAATGACATAGGCATGTAAGGCATAAAAACATCATAGTATAGTAAGGCATGAAATTGTCAAACAATGACATAGGCATGTAAGGCATAAAAACATCATAGTATAGTAAGGCATGAAATTGTCAAACAATGACATAGGCATGTAAGGCATAAAAACATCATAGTATAGTAAGGCATGAAATTGTCAAACAATGACATAGGCATGTAAGGCATAAAAACATCATAGTATAGTAAGGCATGAAATTGTCAAACAATGACATAGGCATGTAAGGCATAAAAACATCATAGTATAGTAAGGCATGAAATTGTCAAACAATGACATAGGCATGTAAGGCATAAAAACATCATAGTATAGTAAGGCATGAAATTGTCAAACAATGACATAGGCATGTAAGGCATAAAAACATCATAGTATAGTAAGGCATGAAATTGTCAAACAATGACATAGGCATGTAAGGCATAAAAACATCATAGTATAGTAAGGCATGAAATTGTCAAACAATGACATAGGCATGTAAGGCATAAAAACATCATAGTATAGTAAGGCATGAAATTGTCAAACAATGACATAGGCATGTAAGGCATAAAAACATCATAGTATAGTAAGGCATGAAATTGTCAAACAATGACATAGGCATGTAAGGCATAAAAACATCATAGTATAGTAAGGCATGAAATTGTCAAACAATGACATAGGCATGTAAGGCATAAAAACATCATAGTATAGTAAGGCATGAAATTGTCAAACAATGACATAGGCATGTAAGGCATAAAAACATCATAGTATAGTAAGGCATGAAATTGTCAAACAATGACATAGGCATGTAAGGCATAAAAACATCATAGTATAGTAAGGCATGAAATTGTCAAACAATGACATAGGCATGTAAGGCATAAAAACATCATAGTATAGTAAGGCATGAAATTGTCAAACAATGACATAGGCATGTAAGGCATAAAAACATCATAGTATAGTAAGGCATGAAATTGTCAAACAATGACATAGGCATGTAAGGCATAAAAACATCATAGTATAGTAAGGCATGAAATTGTCAAACAATGACATAGGCATGTAAGGCATAAAAACATCATAGTATAGTAAGGCATGAAATTGTCAAACAATGACATAGGCATGTAAGGCATAAAAACATCATAGTATAGTAAGGCATGAAATTGTCAAACAATGACATAGGCATGTAAGGCATAAAAACATCATAGTATAGTAAGGCATGAAATTGTCAAACAATGACATAGGCATGTAAGGCATAAAAACATCATAGTATAGTAAGGCATGAAATTGTCAAACAATGACATAGGCATGTAAGGCATAAAAACATCATAGTATAGTAAGGCATGAAATTGTCAAACAATGACATAGGCATGTAAGGCATAAAAACATCATAGTATAGTAAGGCATGAAATTGTCAAACAATGACATAGGCATGTAAGGCATAAAAACATCATAGTATAGTAAGGCATGAAATTGTCAAACAATGACATAGGCATGTAAGGCATAAAAACATCATAGTATAGTAAGGCATGAAATTGTCAAACAATGACATAGGCATGTAAGGCATAAAAACATCATAGTATAGTAAGGCATGAAATTGTCAAACAATGACATAGGCATGTAAGGCATAAAAACATCATAGTATAGTAAGGCATGAAATTGTCAAACAATGACATAGGCATGTAAGGCATAAAAACATCATAGTATAGTAAGGCATGAAATTGTCAAACAATGACATAGGCATGTAAGGCATAAAAACATCATAGTATAGTAAGGCATGAAATTGTCAAACAATGACATAGGCATGTAAGGCATAAAAACATCATAGTATAGTAAGGCATGAAATTGTCAAACAATGACATAGGCATGTAAGGCATAAAAACATCATAGTATAGTAAGGCATGAAATTGTCAAACAATGACATAGGCATGTAAGGCATAAAAACATCATAGTATAGTAAGGCATGAAATTGTCAAACAATGACATAGGCATGTAAGGCATAAAAACATCATAGTATAGTAAGGCATGAAATTGTCAAACAATGACATAGGCATGTAAGGCATAAAAACATCATAGTATAGTAAGGCATGAAATTGTCAAACAATGACATAGGCATGTAAGGCATAAAAACATCATAGTATAGTAAGGCATGAAATTGTCAAACAATGACATAGGCATGTAAGGCATAAAAACATCATAGTATAGTAAGGCATGAAATTGTCAAACAATGACATAGGCATGTAAGGCATAAAAACATCATAGTATAGTAAGGCATGAAATTGTCAAACAATGACATAGGCATGTAAGGCATAAAAACATCATAGTATAGTAAGGCATGAAATTGTCAAACAATGACATAGGCATGTAAGGCATAAAAACATCATAGTATAGTAAGGCATGAAATTGTCAAACAATGACATAGGCATGTAAGGCATAAAAACATCATAGTATAGTAAGGCATGAAATTGTCAAACAATGACATAGGCATGTAAGGCATAAAAACATCATAGTATAGTAAGGCATGAAATTGTCAAACAATGACATAGGCATGTAAGGCATAAAAACATCATAGTATAGTAAGGCATGAAATTGTCAAACAATGACATAGGCATGTAAGGCATAAAAACATCATAGTATAGTAAGGCATGAAATTGTCAAACAATGACATAGGCATGTAAGGCATAAAAACATCATAGTATAGTAAGGCATGAAATTGTCAAACAATGACATAGGCATGTAAGGCATAAAAACATCATAGTATAGTAAGGCATGAAATTGTCAAACAATGACATAGGCATGTAAGGCATAAAAACATCATAGTATAGTAAGGCATGAAATTGTCAAACAATGACATAGGCATGTAAGGCATAAAAACATCATAGTATAGTAAGGCATGAAATTGTCAAACAATGACATAGGCATGTAAGGCATAAAAACATCATAGTATAGTAAGGCATGAAATTGTCAAACAATGACATAGGCATGTAAGGCATAAAAACATCATAGTATAGTAAGGCATGAAATTGTCAAACAATGACATAGGCATGTAAGGCATAAAAACATCATAGTATAGTAAGGCATTAAAATGTCAAAAAATGTCATAGTATAGTAAGGCATAAAAATGTTAATAAATGTCAAAGTATATTAAGGCATAAAAATTTCAAACAATGTCATACTAAATAAAACATGAAAGTAATAAAAACGACATAGTATAGTAAGGCATAAAAATGTCAAAAAACATCATGGTATATTAAGGCATGAAAACCTCATAGTATAATAAGGCAAAAAAGGTCAAAGTATAATAAAATATAAAAGTAATAAAAACGACATAGTATAGTAAGGCATAAAACGTTATAGTATAGTAAGTAACTTGTCAGTCTGATTGACTGTGTGCTCTTTTTCATATTTCTGTCAGAAGATATCATCTGTTCAGTAGGGCATAAAAAGGCCACAGTATAATAATGCATAAAAGTCATTAAAACGTCATTGTATAGTGAGGCATGAAAAGTCATAAAAACTACATAATATTGTAAGAGAAAAAAAATTCAAAAAACGTCATGGTATAGTAAGGCATAGAATAACGTAAGGTATTAATCATTTTACATGCATATTACTTTGATTTTAGACTATAAATGATGTATGACTGTATAATTGTGTAGGACACCAAGTTATTTACGACACGTCTGGAGGTCCTTGTTAGATTGAGGAATGTTTGTTTTTGCTTATATGTTTAGATCCCCACAGATGGACAATATCTCAGGAGCTCTGAAGGAGGATGAGAAAAGCTAAGTGGCCCCACGGATTAGAAGATCTCCACATCAACATCAGACCGTCAAGCACACTGGAGAGCCAAAGACCATACAAGCAGTCAAAATTTTGTTACTCATAGAGAGACCTTGGTGTGCCTTGTACCAGATCTGTCCATTATGCACTAATAAAAACCAGCCACATTGAAGTGTTTAATTGTCGGTCTGAATCTGTTTTTCATCTTTCTGTCATAAGAAATCATCTTTTCAGTGAGACATAGAAACGTCATAGTACAGTAAAGGATAAAAAGTCATAAAAACGTCATTGTATAGTAAGGCATAAAAATGTCAAAAACATATGATATTATATTAAGGCATAAAAATGTCATAAAATGTCATAGTAAAGTAAGGCATAAAAACGTCATAGTACAGTAACGCATAAAAACGTCATAGTATAGTAAGGCATAAAAACGTCATAGTATAGTAAGGCATTAAAATGTCAAAAAATGTCATAGTATAGTAAGGCATAAAAAGGTCAAAAAATGTCATAGTACAGTAAGGCGTAAAAACGTCATAGTATAGTAAGGCATTAAAATTGTCAAAAAATGTCATAGTATAGTAAGGCATGATATTGTCAAAAAATGTCATAGGCATGTGAGGCATGAAAACATCATAGTATAGTAAGGCATAAAAATGCCAAAAAATGTCATAGTATAGTAAGGCATAAAAACATCATAATATAGTAAGGCATTAAAATGTCAAAAAATGTCATAGTATAGTAAGGCATAAAAACGTCAAAAAATGTCATAGTATAGTAAGGCATAAAATTGTCAAAAAATGTCATAGTATAGTAAGGCATAAAAACATCATAGTATAGTAAGGCATTAAAATTGTCAAAAAATGTCATAGTATAGTAAG